TACATGGAAAAACAAAAAGTAATCAGTGCTGATGAAGCGCGAAATGCCCTAACCCTATCAAAACGCAATATATACATCCAGTGCATACACGCACCCAGTACATGCATTTTTGCAAGGAAAAAAACAGTTGTGGGAGCTACAGGAAAAATATGCTGGCGAACTGGCACTAATATTATACTCAGTTAAATCAACTGTGATTAGTATTTTGTAACAGGCAACTCGAGTCGGAGGAGTACGTCCTGTGTCTGCTGCACAGGGATGGCCCGAACTATAACTCCCGAGTGCACGCTGTGTCCGACGAGCTTATCAATCAAATGGAATGCGCACAATCACTTATACTTGTCCTGACACAGTACTTCCTGGGTAATGAATGGAGGACACTACAGGTAAACACGTTCTGCAATACTTGTCTGCACTCTGGCTCTGAAAAAATCCCGTGCATCAGCAATTCGTTGCACGTCAAAACGTTTCCAGTACAGTAGAGCCCAAGAAATAATATTTAGGAAAGATTCAAAGTGCCCGAAATTGCCCTCATTATTGATAGACTTTTTGAAGAATGCGAAGAAATGCTTTCAGATAAAGACATCACATCAAATATTTGCCAAAAATCGTCATAAAAAGCTCATTGCGCTGCTGGGCGATGGAATTGAGCCGAATCAACTGGATGCTGAGTTAGGACAAATTCTACGTAAGAATACTTGTATTCGAATGAATGATCCATTGTTCTGGAATCTACTACACTCAGCATTGCCCGTCCGGATAGCTGCATCAACGTGCAGCGGCGGCTCATCACAGATCTATTCCGATTGTTACGGTAGTATTGTACCTAGTGATATTGTCTGATTGTTCAGTTTTTTCTGTCATTCAGATGTTACGTGTATTTTGAACGAAATCACTCTTAGTGGTGAAGATTGCCTTCAAAAATTTTTTTGGCTGAAAAAGAATAAATCAGTTGACTGTCAGATCCTGAAATCGAAAAAACGGCTTTTCATTTAAAAAAACTCCTGTATTCGTTAAACTTTACAAAATACAATTACTGCGACAAAGCGCACTCTTCCACCCTTCCAATTTCACAAAGCCGAGCTAAAACCGAAGATTAAAACTGTATAAATTCAAAATTCTGAAAAAAAAAACCACTTGTTTCCTCGTATACGGTCTTCAATGATACTACTAAGCATCACGAATATGCTTTACAGATGTAATGCTCTTGAACTAACGGGTCCTTTTGTTGATACTGCTGTTATCATCTTTATTGTTAATGTTAATATTACTGGTGTTCTTTGAACAATGGAAATTGTGCTTGTGGGCAGATGCGCGCAAGAAGATGATGCCCTTCACAAATACAGTGGTATTTAATTGATTTTTTAAGAACCGCCGCCTTATCCACGATATTACTGTACAGGAAGCATTTGCCCACTTTTACTACTCTTCTTGGAAATTATATTAGGTTACTGTAATATGTCATAACGCTGCCAATTTTTTTTTTGCCTTTTTTGCATAAACGTCTGTTTAAAAGTGTAAATATGAAGAACAGACTGAAGTAAAAAGTTTAAAAACCGAAAAAAAAACCTGAAATTTCACAGATACACAAGAAAGAAATAGTAAAAGAAAAAGATTAAGGAAGCTTGGTCACTTTCTTTTATAAACTCTGACTTATAATGAAGAAAAACGTTAAAAAATCCCTGAAGATTCGCTCATTTTTCTTTACCTTGCTGTAACTATTCCTGTTGTTTTATTTCAATGTAACGGTGAGAGTTACAGGTAACTAAGAGTCTAAAAAAATTCTCTAAATCTGTCAGGAATTCAGTGCCAGTAGAGGAATTCAGATGTAATTGTATTCTAACCTACAGCCTCTTACGAGTAATGAGCGTTCTAGGGGAGCTTAGAAGGAAACTTTTATCCAAAAGCTGAGAATTTTACAGAAGACGTGGAGAAAGTGTTAAACACAATTTTAGCTTGAGGGATGAAAGTCAAAAAATGAAAATTAAAGGTAAATTTTCCGCAGGATGGACACCACAAAGTGGTGCAAGTTGAGTTAGATCAAACATGAAGTTAGCAAATGTGCTGATGGTGCAACCAACACAGTGTGACGAGTAAAAAGCAACATGTTGCATGCCAAGCGAAAGACTTACCAACTAAATGAGGCCCTTCGAACTGAAAGTCATAGGCACAGTGCCAATCCTTCTGCGAAACTTGTCCAATTGGCGCGCCAAGCCAGTATTCCAAATTGGCGATATGGAACTCAAGCAAACGCTGGTCGAAATCGTTCATATAAACTTCGCTAAAATTCGATGCATGAGAAATCTTGGCTCCACCACTCGTTTAAAAGATGATTTTTTTATCAACTAATCTCACTCTATAGTTCTCAAGATGAAAACCTTCAAATTACTCATTGTTGATTCATAATTCTCCAAAAATTTCAGCGGAATCTTGTATAAACTTCAAGCTAATGCACGAAGTAACAACAAATTTTGCATTTTCTCGGCAAAAATTTAGAATTAGTTTGTTTTTTAGTAATTTAGAAATAAAACTGAAAATCATTCGTTTCAACATTAAGATTAGGATTCCTTCATTCGGAAACATGTCTTTTTAGCTGTCTAATTCCGCAGCCACAGATGCAGATTCTATAAGCGAAAACAGTGTAAACCAGAATGAGTTAAGGCAATGAAGTGTGGAAGAAAAAGTACTTGGTGCTGATGAAAAACAAAATAATTACGTCAAATGATTTTGGTATGTTAAATTCCCAACAAATTCACTATCACGAAAGGAGAGAGAACTTTGAAGCAGTTCGAATGGCTGGCGCGCCAACAGCAACCACTTGCGGGTAACATTGCCAATGTTTCCTTTTTTCGAAAGCCAGTTAGAAGGAAAAACTGTTAGTGTCTATCAATGAAACGAACAAATGAGTCCGAGAGGAACTGGCCATCCGACAGGCTAAGACGAACACTCGACTTCTAGCATAACAGCAGCACTACGCGCAATTATTTCATGCACGCCAACACATCGAAAATTTCGAACAACGAAAAAAATTAAACTTGATATTTTTGAATGGAGCTATTGTTATCTCAAACATTTCAAAATTATTTTCATTATGCCTTATTTGCGCGCAAATATTTCCAGTTTTAAGAGCAATGACAGATCTAATTGCGAAAAAACCGAGTAGATGATAAAAAAGCTAAAGAAAAATAATTCTGTTTTAAGGCTGCGCCCAGCACATTTGTAGTTGGCAGATAATATTAATAATGATAATAACAACAACAACAACAATAATGATAATAGCAATAATTATAGCGATAATAATGACAATAACAACAGCAGTGTATATCCTCTCTCTTACTCGGAGACTTTTCAATGATTTCTTCTTTTTTTTTAAAGTTAATTTCGAAGCTTTGGAAAGCTCTGAATAAAACGTTTTTATTCTCTACTCGTTTTTCACATAAAGCATGCAGGCATGCGATCAATTATCATT